ATGTAATAAAAGTATTGCTAAGATATAGTCAAATCTCTCTAAATGGGGCAGCCAAAAAATCATGCATTTAGGGAGGTGGTTATTGAGATATCTTTGCTCAAAGTTTTAGAAAACTTTTGATACAGCTTTGTTTTGATTAGTGATTTGAACCAAGAAAAACTTCCTTAATCAGTTAACTGAACTGAATTATTTTATTCAACTGATTGCCAACTGGTTAAGATTAACTATCTACTACCATTAGAAATTCTCAGAGCTTTACTCTCTTGTCTTTATGTTCATTCATTTTTTTTTCAGAACTTTTCAGACCTTTTACTCTTTCTTTATGTCATTTTCATATTATAGCAATTTCACCAACCAATTATCTAATTCTCAAATAGTTGTATAGGCCAACTGATTAAGAATTTCCTCAACCAATTAACCAAAAATTATTCAGTTCAGGTTAATTAACTGATTATAGCCAACCGATTCAAATCACTAGTTTTGATAGATGTTTTGATTTTTTTTAAAACTTTGAATGAAGATATTTCAACAACTACTTGACCAAATTTGATGATTTGAATTCTACAGATCTGTAGAATTCGAATAAAAGAAATCTATCAAATTTAGTCAGGTGGTTATTTCTGTGGGAATATGAATGCCAAATTTGGTGTACCAATACCAGCTCCTTAAAAAATTTTTGAATTTATATAAAATTGTTGATTTTGATTAGTTTATATCATATGATCATTATTTAAAAAATAATACCTTGGTTTAGGCCACAGATAAACTAGTCTGAGTTTCTTTTTTTGCTATCGTATGATATGAAGTTTAAGTTGTAATTCTTTTCTGTATAAAAGATTTTAATTAAATTTCAATAAAGACAGAGACATGGTCTCACCATTAATATTCAAAAAAAAAAACAATTAGTGCTAATTTTTTTTCATATATTTTTTTTTAAACTTTAGATTAAACTTTAATATTATATAAATTTATAAAAGATGTAATAAACTCTAATTTTAACTTATTAATAGTATTAATAAGTTAAAATTAGAGTTTACTATGTCTTTTATAAAAATTTACATAATATTAAAGTTTAATCTAAAGTTAAAAAAATATATGAAAAAAATTAGTATTAATTATTAATCATAATCAATAATCATTAATCATAATAGATTATTTTTTTTTTATGATTTGCAAAATTTACAGAATTTGCAAACTGCAATAATTGCAATTGATTAAAATCCTATAATTTAATCAATGATAATCACCCCTATTGATTAAATACAATGTGATTTTTATTGATTATTATCAATATAAATTAAAAATATTGATTTAATTTAATTATTTTAAATCGTTTGATTTTAATCGATTATTATTAACTTGACTTAAATCGATTATTAACATGCCGTTAGTTAAAATTAATTGATTATAATGAATTAACTGTTAATAATTGATTGTAATCAAGTTTCAAAATTTTCTAATAGAGATACTAACCTAACATGTAATTAGCATTCAATACTAAATATATGCTAAAATACTAGTAAGATATTGGTTAGTTTTTTGTTACCTTGAGCTGTATTATCATTAGATTGCCTATCTTTATGTATTTCTACAACAGGAACTGCCCACTTTGATGTCTGTCAGATTCAACAATACACATATAATGATTATAACACAATTGTTGCCCGAACATTAAGTAACTATAAGAAGCATAGATTTCTTTCTTTTGAGATTTATCATATGCTAATTGTGTGAATTTGTGAAACTGATCTGTTTGTATATCACAATTTTGAACTGAACATAGTCCTTCATTTTTTTGAATTTCCATAATTAAAAGTTTTTATTTAATACCAGTTTTTATAAATTTAAGTGATTTTTGTAGTTTAAAAAAAAAAAACTAATAACATTTTGATATTAAAATTAAGATAGTAAAAGATTTGTGATTCTATAAGTATAATTGTAAGATTATATGTAATATACAATTTCTAAAAAACAAAATAAACTAATCAATACAAACATTCTTTGCAAACAAAGTATAATATAATTAAAAAATATAGAAAATATTGTTAATTAATTATGTTTAATAGAATGTTTAATATTGATTACTTAATGTGCGAAGGTTATCAATTTAATCAAACAAGAATAAATAATACAGATCTAAAAATATTTTAGAAAAGAAGAATAATTTGAACAATTTTTTTGTACATAACACATTAGAGTTGTCGATCATGTATGTAGATCAAATATATGTATAGGTATATAGTAAAAATAATTAGTGAAATTATTTGTATAACAAAGATGATAATTTATATTAAAAAGTTAAAATTTGACACCTTTTTTATCAATTTTATTGCATATATTTTATTTTTTTAAAAAAAATCACCCTTTTAGTTTAAAATTTAAGGTCTTCTAAACAATTGTGTAAAATTTTAAAAGAAGTTAATATGTAAAATATCAAGGAGATACAATTTGAATTTTAGTAAATGTTTATAATGTTTTTATAGGAAGCTGTTAATTTTCAAACTGTATCTCCTCGATATTTTACATATTAACTTCTTTTAAAATTTTACACAATTGCTTAGAAGACCTTAAATTTTAAACTAAAAGAGCGATTTTTTAAAAAAAATTTTTTATTAAAAATTTATTTAATTTCAAATAGTTTTAATATTGGTTACACAAATTTGTAGATCATGTTATATTTCTTCAGCTATTTATCTGCTATCATGCAGGTGACAATTTATTAACAATATTTACTTGCAACTAATTAAATGTTACGTTAGCTCTATGTGATGCCGGGTAAATGGCTGTAGAGGAAAGAACTATCAGAAAAATATACAGCTACCAAATGTATATAAAATCCTAGTCTTCGATATCTTTAGTATTAGAACAAAAATTGATTTTTCAGCAATTTGATGTTAAGTATTAGCTTGTCATTAATAAAAGAAAATTATTATAATCGCTTTATAGTGCTTGTCATTAATTAAGGGAACTGCTTTGATTTATAACTGTTTTACTGTGCTATAATACTTTCATTAACTTTTATTATCTTTGAAATCGATACTTTTGTGTTATTTATTTATCCAACCTTCTGCTTTTAATTAATTATTAATTACATCATTTGCATTACAATTTATTAATTAATTGACATCATTTAGTGATTAAATCTCGACCCTAATCAAATTATTTTACATGTACAAGTGGATTTAAATATCAAAACTGCTTTTTATTAGAATTTATTTGTCAATATAACAATATAATCAAACTAGCTACAACATAAAGTTCTAAATATTTAATATTATAATTTAATAACAAAAAAAAATTTACTAATTTAAAATTGCAAAACTATTTATCATTATACCGTTATTCCAATTCAGGTGTTTTTCATTTTAGCACTTTCTAATGTTTGATCCTTATTTCTGTTTTAACGCTTTCCAATTTGGATGCTTGATCTCCCATTTCTGTTTTAATGCTTTTCAATTTGGATGCTAGATCTCTTGTTTCTGGCTCAATGCTTTCAAATTCGGATGCTTGATCTCCTATTTCCTTTTTAATACTTTTCAATTTGGGTGCTTGATTACTTTTTTTCAAATACTTATTAATTTGTTTTCTATGCTCTTTATATATATCACTGAGTTGTTTTTTTTTATTTTCATTATAAATGCGTGCTTTTAAATTATTTATATTCAACTATTTTGAATGAGAGTATCTAGATAGCATTTTTATGAAATAAAAAGATATGGATTATAAACTTAAAGGAAATTAGATACTATTATATAGAAATATCAGCATTAATATAATAAATAGATTCATGCTATTATAGCGCGAACTTTTGTTATTAATACACTTTCAAGGCTATTCTAATTAATGAGTTTTAATCAATAATAATCATAAATATAGTTACGTGATTTTAAGGATTTTAATTGTTATTAAAAAAACTTTTAAAATCGTATAAATAAACAAAAAATTACAAATATTATTGAACAAAAGCCAATTGCTCAAACTGTAATAGTTTAATTTATATATTTTAAAAAATTAATGCTTACGCGGAGGACCAAGTTAATGATGGTCAGACCAAACGTACATAGCAGACTATAGAACCCTTCGCAGCTGTGAAAACCGAGTTTAAAAATAGTGAGCACAACTACAGAAGGACATTTACCCAAATCATTACCAATATCATCCAACTCCTATAATTTGGAAATATACAATAACAAATTTCTTACTTATTACCAACTTCCTTTATTAGACGAACTACAAACTATTAATTCTTTTTTACAACATTTACGACAAAACAATGTTGACTATTTAGCAGATTATGCTTTTATTATAGTTCACAGCAATAAAAGTAAAACACATATGTATTTACCACATGAACACAATATACTACCAAATCACTATACTCTATCCACTAATAATTTGCATGATATTCCTCTTAAATTACAATCCAACACACCTATTTTTACATCTTCCTATCCTCCACCAGCATCAAGCTCTTTTCTTGCTCTAATACTCCTTATACTACACAAAATCAAACTAACAATCCTATCTTCAACTCTCCAACTAATTTAACAATTGAAAATACTTCAATTCCTATCAAAATTAGCTTACTAAATATTAATGGTTTATCACAAGCTAAGAAAAAACTGTCCTTACTTGAAATACTTAATAATGAAACATTTGATATATTTAGACTCTCTGAAACTCATTTTTCAAAACAAGAAACAAAATATACTAATTCATTCACTAATAAATATTCTAGTTTCTAGAGCTTTTACACCAACTCTCACCAAGCTGGAGTTGGAATTTTTATTTATAAAAAAATCTCTAAATACATTGCACGCTCTTATAACTATAATGGTCATATTATAGGTCTTGATTTACATTTCAAAAATACACCTATTAGAATTCTTCAAATT